TAGAAGTACCAACTTAAAAAGAAAAACCCACGACCAATTGCGCTGACCCATCTGGTTCCTAGTTATGTACAGCATCAGGAGGGCTTGTAAGGTCCGACACCCAACACTAGGTGGAAGTATCGTCTACCAATGAGTTAAAGTATTCCCTCCCGATGATCTTCATGTGAGCAAATTTGGTCAAAAGGGGTCATGTTGAACCTACAGATAAGTGGCTGCAGACTTAAAGATTAGGCCTCTGGTGATGCACATGGGTAGGAATGAAAATGAAATAAAACATAGGCCTTTTAAAACAAAATTGATTGGTGTGTTTGTGGACTTTACAAGGTGTCTGTGGGCGATAACACAGCAGCTAAAATGTTAATAAAATAAAAACAGTATTGCTTTATACAGCTGTATGTATAATAATCTAGCAAAATTTCTTAATATCGTTTGTGTCCAACAACGTCTGAAAACTTACAAAAGTATTTAATGTGTATGAAATAGACCATGGAGGAAAGTTTTCCTTCCTCTATAAATAGACAAAGCATTGTCGATATGGTTGCCTAAAAGTTTTTCTGGAGTAATCTCTAAAAAGATCATTTGTGACCTGCCAACACAAAATGAGCTGGAAGTCGGAATTGTCAAAAATTGAAATATTGGTGTTTTTAATTTAGCAAAATAAAGCTTTCCAGTGATATGTGCAAAATAAAGTTTTCCATTGGTATGTACATGGAACACTTAGTGTAAAAGTATATATGGTAACAATGTGACATTATTCCTTCAGCTTTGCGCCTTTGTTTCATTTGACTTTGAACAGACTTTACGCTCATTTTGTCGTAACAGGTTACATTTTGTTGAAGAAGCGTTCTGACAGCGAAATTTAGTGCATACCTTTATCTGCCTTCTCAATTAACAGGCAGAATTCCGACAGTGAAGTTCAGTGCATAAATGATCCCCCTCCCAATAAGGGGGCAGAATTCCGACAATGAAGTTCACTGCCTAAATGATCCCCCCTCCCAATAAGGGGGCAGAATTCCGACGATGAAGTTCAGTGCATACAATGATCCGCTCTCCAAATAAGGGGGCAGAATTCCGACGATGAAGTTCAGTGCATACAATGATCCCCCTCCCAATAAGGGGCAGAATTCCGACGATGAAGTTCAGCGCATACTATGATCCGCTCTCCAAATAAGGGGGCAGAATTCCGACGATGAAGTTCAGCGCATACTATGATCCGCTCTCCAAATAAGGGGGCAGAATTCCGACGATGAAGTTCAGCGCATACTATGATCCACTCTCCAAATAAGGGGGCAGAATTCCGACGATGAAGTTCAGTGCATATTTTGATCTGCCCTCCCAATAAGGGGCAGAATTCTGACAACGAAGTTTAGAGTATACTGTACTTTGATCCTTCATTCCCGCAACCAATGTATTTGTCAACGTCAGTGCTTTCTACGTCCATGAGAAAATATAGTCCGACTTTAACTTTGTGATCAATAATCCAATGATCCACTAGATTCATTGAGAATTTATGAACGATTAAAGTCAGAGTGTGAACACAGACAAGCATCAATTTTCATATAGTTCAATTCCATTTTATGACATATCACGTGAAAGACTTTCTATGCCTTAGTGTTATTCATGCACTTGCAAGGCAGCTTTTCACACATGCATGCTGAGTAAGTTGTGGCCCACACAAACGACTCCACAACTCAAAAATTTAAAGTAACTCAGGCGGCTTGAGCACCGATTTGAGCCATCAAAAGGGGAAAATGTGGTTTCATAACTAGTCAAAATGGAATGCTACACTAGTTTTGAGCATATTAACTGGACGTGTGTTGAGTAAACTACAGGCAAAGCCCACTCGCCACCCGGTCAAGCCAAAGTCAAGCCCTGTCTGCGGTTTTGCACCAAGCTCGTAAGAAAATCCCCTGAGAGCCATAACACTAGCTGATAAGAGATCCTCAAATCCCGGTTCGACCTGCCAGAAAACCTGAGTTCAGGCTGCTGAACTTGGGTGGGTTCTCTGATAAATGAGAATTCACAGCATGTAAGGTACCGCGATAGCTCAATCAAAATACATGCTGATCAACAGCGAGCTCATTGAGTTTGAGTCATGCTCATACCGCACATTTCAAACAAAAGATGGTTACGAGAGTACAGGAGACAGAATAGCTGGTGATGCTTGCTGGACATAAGGTAAATACTGTGATAGAGATAGGGACTGAACCACAGTGGACACGTTTTTCTTCTTTCCATTGATTCCAATGGTATACTTTTCAGTCATAAAATCATAAGTTTTCATCATCTACCTCAATTAAAACACCTAATCTGTTAAATCTGTTTATGATGAAACGTGTAAAATCATGAACAGATATAAAATAAAGAAGTCGAATTGTATGAAATAAATACAAATCTTCACCTCTTGTTCTTGGTTCTGCAACACATGCATGAGCACACACTACCCCAAATGACCCACGAAACTGGTCTGGGCAACTGACAGCGATCAGTTTGAAAGCCATGATGTTCAAGTATGGTCACATGGCTACTGCAAAGAGCCAGTGATCTGGCAGGTACAGGCTGGATAATGCATGTTGTCCGACAGCAGTAATAATGCGCAGTGTGTACGAACACTGTATCCCAGTGTGAATAGACAAAGTGCATTCCTTCCCCACATCAAGTGTGGGTCGGGTCTACTAGAGAATACCTATCCAAACAGTCACTACATATGCAAATTTCCCATGCGCGTATTATTCATTCACTGAAAAGATTTGATCACCCCTGGTGCATCCTGACCTCCCACAATGCAGCACGGCCTTGCCGCCATGATCGTCCTTTTCGAAAGCGACTCAAAAGGTCAGAGCCAGAGTGGGGAGGACGGGCGGGAGAGGACTGTTTGGGCAGGTATTCTCTAGTAGACGCGACCCAAACTTAATGTGGGGAAGGAGTCTACGGCACTCTACCTACCCAAACAGTCACTCCACATGCAGAGCAGCACCGGTCTAGGTGGGGGTTGGCAAAAACACATCTAATGCCGAGAATACACTTTAAATATAAACAAAGAGGAATGTATAAATTTAGAAGTGGTAAAGGAACTTCATAATGACTTGTCGTCCGTCCTATAGGAGGTCCCTTTGACCTCTGTACTGCGGACAGCAGGATTGTCCCGCCATTTACGATGTTGCTATGCAGGACATCCCTCAAGTTGCAGGAGGTACATGTAGGAGACTTCCAACATGCAGTTTTGCAGATGTCCGCAATGGAAACATCTCCAGAGTAAGACCAAGATGCAGATCCTGCTCTTACGTCATGAACCCTGATGTAGTAATGACTATGTTCATCAGAGCTTAACACCAGACTGGATTAGCAAATCTAATGGCCGAAACTGTCCAGCAGGCGATAGTGCACTGACACCACGGGACCATGTGGTCTCATGAACGTCCCTTTTATTCTATTCTTTTAGTCAGGTACCACCTCAGGATATGAACAGGGCCCCAAAGTTTATCTGCATGCATCTCCAGAATGTAAGCAGGTGGAGAGTGTAAAGATATCAGAAGGATCAGGTGAGGGAGTCTGATCCTTCGTCAGGAAGCCAATTGAAGGAATGAGGTGAACACCGTGCAGCTCCCACTGTAGATTGCCCTCGACAATGGGGACAGCCTATAGTTTGCTGCCTCCTCAGGAGGTAAGCATTTTCAGGAGAAGGGCCAACCTGACACGGGTGGGCATAAGGCAGGTATTATTTAGGGTTCAAACAAAGGACCCAAAAGCATCAAGAAAAACCTAGCTTAGGTTTATGGCTAAATCAGTTTCCCAACTAGGGGACACTGGATATGAGTTGAAGATACTTGTAGCTCTGAGTGAAAGAAGTACATAAGGAAGTATGTTATAGCACTCACAGGAGCGTTGGCTGGAGCCAAAGCTTAACAATTGACGCACATAACAAAATGCTAAAATCTGCTGTCACAAATTTGAAAGGTGGGCAGGTGATGTCCTGTGTGGTCATGGCTATAGCATTGCTAAAAAGTCCCACCGACGAGGAAGATCGTTGGAAGTTGAGCAAAGAGATCGATGTGAGGCTGCTCTATCATCCCAGGGAGAGTGTGGCTGCCACTATGTTGTCGGACCTTGCCATGTGGATCATGCAAGTCAACTGCTGATTCCTTGTCCTTTTCGTTGATGTGGCTTTGGTTGACAGTGTGAAAAAAAAAAGGCAAGAAAGCCGCAAGTCATACTCAAAGACGGAGAAGACATTATTATTCAGAGTCTCTAGCATGACTGTAGTGAGGTCTGGAGGAAAGGAGAACTCTACTTTCCCATCAAAGGAATTTACCTCGATAAGAGGGGAAGAAATGAAATAGGTCAGAGACAAAGACTTCATGTAACCTAGATAAAGTTGGTGTCAGTCTTTATCAAGGAGTTCCTAACAAAGAGGCTTGCTAAGTCAAATGCATAAGTTGTCTTTAGCGGCACTGTATAACACTTGAATATGCAGAAGGGTATTGAAGATATTCATGTCATATTGAAGGTAAACCGTGTTCCGTACCCGGCATAGCTGCTGGTGCCTCGACTGCGTCGGCAAACTGTGATCATTTTCATGCATGCGTGAAAAATAAATGGCCGGTGTAGAGGAGTCAGGCCGCATGATGTTTGCAATATGAATAACAGAATGTGCGTCCATAGCAACTCACTCCGAGAAGACTACTCATTCTCGTACATGTTAATCTTAATTGGAGGAAATTGCTAGTACTTTCCGCTCAAGGAATGAATCTCCGTGGACAATAACCACTTCGATGTCTGAAATCGTGCTAAGAACTAACACAGAACAGCGTAGCAAAAACGGAAGCTCAATAAATCAAAGATGCCTCGAAAGACACATCCTAAAAAAAAGACATGGTGCTAAAAAAAGAAGGACAATCATGACAGTGGGTGAAACTCTGGGTGAAAACTAAAGGCAAGACTGAACGATAAACAAGGACAATTTGATCAATCTCAAAAATGTAACAATCGAGCATCCTTACCTTTCTGTTGAGGACAAAGTAATGGATCTTGATGGGAAACCCCATGAAAGCAAAAATGTTTCCATGGCAATGAAGGATGCTGTCTCTATGGCAATGAAGGATGTTACTGTCTGTCACATTGTTTGCCTGCAAAAATAAAAGGAAAATGAATTAATAACATGAAAAAAACCAAGAAATTTTAGTCCCTGTCAGAACTTTAAACAACTATAACACAACTTTTGTTGTAGTATATATATCCAGTTTAGTGACTTTCAAACAAGAAAATTTGTCAATTTCTGGGCAACACAGTTGACTCTTGTTATTATGAAATCCACAAGACCCAGTGAAAATGTAAATGGTATCCAAACTTGGAGGAATGCGGAGTGCAGTGCTACTGGTTTATTGTTACGTCACCACGCGCATAGATTCTACAGAGTATATACACGTATGCACATACAGTAAAATCTTAATAAGTCGAAGCCCGTTAAGTCGAAACTCTGTTTACCTCGACGTCTTTCTGCATTCCTGACAAAAGAATAGGCCTTTATGTACAATAAACTATCCGTAACCAGAAACATCAATGCCACTAAAGCCGCATATCTCAAAGTTTTGGCAGGCCAGTTAAAAAAAAACCTGAAGAATGATGAATAAAAGTGATGAAAGAACGCTTGCCTTCATTATGAGTCATTACTGTCACGCGCACGGCTTTTCTTTGATGAGCCGAGCATGTTCACACGGGCTGTCATTGTCACGTCGACAAGCACTGGGTGGGCATCAACCACAGCGCCAGTTGTATTGATTGTCAATGCGGGCCCAATTGTGGCCTAGAAGCCGACGGTCCAACCGAAAACTCTGCAAAGGCCATGTGACCGCAGTGGAGTGAGCATGTGCATGACGCCCGAAAACCTGGCTGTCAATGCCCTCAATTGTTTTGTCTGTTTGCACTCTAGCTGTCCAATCCCTGCCGCATGATGGCGGTCCGATAAAAAGCTTGGCTTGAACAATCACCAAGCGTGATCGATAACCAAGCCACGTGGACCAACCGTGTGACTGCATAGAAGAAGAAAAAGTTGAAGACGTTGAAAAACGTAGTGCGAAAAGAAAGGTGGACATCGCAATGGAATGGGGAATTCCTCACTCTTCACTGGCGACCATAACGAAAAACAAGGATAAGGTGATGGAGCAGTTCGAAAACCAGGCAGTCTCTCCAGCGAGAAAGCGCATGAGAACGGCAGCATATCCCGATGTTGAAGAAGCTCTGTCGATGTGGTTCAAGGCCGCACGTACACAGAACATTCCTGTGTCTGGGCCAATTTTACAGGAAAAGGCCTGGTCCCTTGCCAAGCTGTTGGGCCATGCTGACTTCGCGTCTAGTGATGGGTGGCTGTCCTGCTTCAAGGCAAGACACAATATCGTCTTCCGAGCAATTGCTGGAGAGGGGGCTGCAGGCACATCAGAAATGACAAAAGATTGGTTGGAGACCGGTCTTCCTCAAGTCCTGACGGTGTATGACCCACACAACATTTTCAACGCCGATGAAACCGGGCCTTTTTACCGCCTTCTTCCCGACCGCTCGCTAACCTTCAAGGGGGAGACCTATAATGGTGGCAAGCAGAGTAAGGAGCGGCTTACCGTGATGGTGTGCGCCAACATGGATGACAGCGAGAAGATGCCTCTTCTTGTCATTGGCAAGTCTAAGAAGCCAAGATGTTTCGCAAAAGTAAAGTCGGTTCCAGCACAACGAAGCCAACAAGACAGCCTGGATGACGTCAGACATCTTCAAGGCATGGGTTCCTAACGTGGACAAACTGTACCGAAACAAGAAACGAAAGATCACCATCATTGTTGACAACTGCCCGGCCCATCCCCACATCAAAAGGCTTGAAGAATGTGAAGCTGGTGTTCCTGCCTCCCAACACTTCCCAGACTTCACCCAATGGATCAAGGGGTCATACAGAACTTGAAAACACACTACCGCTGACAGCTCATCACATCTCTACTTGCAGCAGTGGAAAAGAAGGACGAGTACAACCCCACCGTACTGGATGCTATGATTCTCCTCAAGAAATCATGGAAAATGGTCAAGGAAACAACCATTGCCCACTGCTTTGAACATGCTGGCTTCAAAAACATCGCAACTGCTGGGAATCAGGATGCAGAAATGGAAGATGACACTGAGGCGGCGAACACTGAGGCAGCAAACAAGGACCTCACTGGCCAACTTCGTGATGCAGGGGTGGATGTTCCACCTGAAACAACTCTGGACTCATATGCTGCAGCTGATGCAGAATTCAGTAGCACCATGGAGCTCACCGATGATGCCATCACAGTTGCGGTATCAAGTTTGGCAGAAAACAAAAGTGATGACGGGGAAGAACCAATCGTCCACCGCCAAGTTGTCTCCATCCCGGATGTTATGGAGTGTATTGACAAATTGCGTGACTTTGCACTACAGAACGATCAGGCTAAGGGCATCTTTGATGCAATCTGTGACATTAAGGAGTTTATTGGCCGGATTCGAAAAGGCAAGACATGACAGAAGCAAATCATTGACTTCTTCAAGAAGTGAACACTGAACATTGGAACCCTGGCATTACCACAAACGGCCTTGTTTAAGGCCACGTGGTACCATGTGAGATGCATCCCCGTCGCGGTACTGGAAATGCACTTTTTGCGTAGCCAAATCTCATGCCAATAAAATAAATTGAGTACAAAATAGGAGTAGTAGGAGCCAGTAAGGTTGCATGTGCACTGAAGCATGTAACTTTCGATAACTTGAACGTCAGATAACTTGAATTTTTTGTCCATTCCCCTGAGCTTCGAATCATCAAGAATTTACTGTACATGAACATGAATGCTAATCAAAATCAAGGGGTAAGATTCATCAAATGAAAACTACAGGTTGGTTTCTTTTATAATGATCAAACCTTTAAGGTTGATCATTTGAAAAAAAAAGGAAATGCTCACGCAAGACAAATGAAATAAAACCAGCAAGATGATCGATTGTAGTTTATTGTTGAGGATGAAGTCAATGTTAACAACTGTAGTTCCCAAGATCTCATACATGTACTTTTACATGCTAATTGTGACCTCTGTTCTGTTTACATTGAACATTTGCATGTGACCTTAGATACTTTGCACTCTCAATAGTGAGATCTGCATACGGAGTGCGCTACCGCAAAGAATTATGAGCAATCTTTTTACACATGCGAGACAAGCAAAGAATGGAGTGCAACGATCTGAAACTGTCTTTTACCTAATCCTAAATAAAGGCACGAGTGAATGTAAGTCAACCTGGATCAAACAACTCTGAATCCCAAATTGTGTTATTGTCACCACCAAGATGTTCATTTGAGAAACCGTTGAATTAAATACATTCATTGGTCTGATAGATCTAGAATGTCCTTTGTAATAATTGTTGTTTGCGTTAGATTCAAGACTGAAGCGGCAGAACTGTAAGGTAGACCTACATGCACTACTGTGCATTTAGGGGTTCCAGTTTGAAGACTAGATAGATCTTGGGATCGAAATAACAGACACTAACTGTGGACATATAACAACAAGGCGAATTAATGCCAAGACTTGTGATCAAGTGGTGCCTCTTCATTCCAACACAAACTGTGTCATGGAGAGAAATTTCCATTTTATTGTCTGTTTGTCTTGAAATGCTCTTTGTGAAACACCAATGTTCTCTTGGGAACATGGCAACGTAGGAAATCTTGAATAATTATGGACAACCATGAGTGACTGATCGTCAATCCACCGAGCTTAAGTAAAGTACCCGACAGAGGAGTTTTGCATAAAACGTGTGATGTCATTAAGTGTGCTTCATGATTGGATAGTTGTGCTTAACAGAGCATATGTCGTAAAGTAAAGTACCCGACAGAGGAGTTTTGCATAAAACGTGTGATGTCATTAAGTGTGCTTCATGATTGGATAGTTGTGCTTAACAGAGCATATGTCATAAAAAAGCCCACAGTGAATAAAAATCGTTATACACAGACTCCAAAATTAATGACATGGGAAAAATTTCTATTTCCTTTCTGGCCACAGTCAAACACAAGTTTATTAAGCTCAGGCATCTGCCACTGCCGGTCGGGCCCGACCGGCACGCAGAATTGCCGACCGCCACAATCTGCCAAATCAACTTTTCCGACCGGCACGTATTCCCGATAAGAACCCAAATAAAATAGCAAAATAGCAAGATATGAAGATCGTGAAGAAACCGTAAAATTTCTTCGTAAATTTCACTTTGCACTGCCATGCATATCATCTGTGCACCCACGTACGTGCATATGCAACATATCTGGACCAAATATTAACATGAACCAATAGGAGGCTTTATTACGCGCAATGCACGTGTACAGTGCGTAACGAATCTTTCCATTGGTTGGAAGGCCACACATAGGCTTGCATATGCAACGCTCTCAGTGTGCGAAGATCGGAAAACCCCCTCTCCATGATGTACAGCGTTACTTGTCCAGTTCCGCATTTTACCCAGTTCCACAACTTGAAAAGAAAATTTGGCTTAACTTTCAAAAAGACAAAATTGCAAATGACCCCATTCACACTTCTTTTAAACACTTAAAAATCTGGCAGAAAAACAATTTTACATGTACTTGCAAAACTGACAATCGACCGTGACTGTTTTTCGCCGCGCCAACCACAGTTAGCAACATTCGGTGCATGTATTTTCTGCTTGATGTTGCATAAAACGATCACTGCGATCGTTTTTTAAACCAACAATCGCACCGCATTCGTTAATTGTTGTTTATCCCACGGAGAAAATATTAACTCCGCAATTTTTTTATTCAAAAGTAACAGCATGATTTTGCCTTTTCCGTAAACGAGTTCCATATGGCAAGATACACGCGCTCAGTATGCAAGTGACACATGGCCCGATATGTCAGAAAAGCAAATGGCCAATCTACATTATGTTCATGTAGACTTTAAAATGACTGTTCAGAAAATCCCTGCACACATTTATGAATGTCGTTATCCCATATGCAAACTGTGCGAACTTTCGTACAAAGAAAATAAGGAAAA